ATGCCAGACATGTGCTCAGATCTTTACAAACACAATTCAGTTAAATCTCCAGTTAATAGCAAAGGCAGTTATTGTCCTGGCCTCATAGATGAGGACAATGAGGCCCAGAAGACATAGGTACAAGGTCACGTGGCCGGAAGGTAACAGGATCAGGACTGTAGTCGAGGAAGAGGCCAAGCTAGCTGTGGGAGGAAGCACATTCTGAGTAGATAGAGGAAGGCCATTTGTGACTGGCAACCCACGTCTAAGGTCCTTAGGAATTTTCGAATGAAAATCATGATGTTCCTCCAGGCCTCACCTGCCCTTTTTAGTGAAGTTGCTTTCACTGCAGTAGCATAAGCTCAGTGATGATTTGCCTGATCCACTGACAAGTTGTTCATGCCTAATTCTCAAAAGCACTAAACCTGGGGAGGCAGAAAGAGGGGTCCCACAAGTTGGGCATTTAGAACATCTTCAAGTTTCTCCACATTTTCCCAAAGCCAGAACTCTGAGGCCTTTCCTCATTACAGAAGGTAATAACTGAACCTTGAGCGTGTATCCTTCCAAATGGAAGAAGTTAGTTGTCTACTTAGAAGTCAACTTTGACACTTCCCTCTCCCTCAACCCCAACATCCAGTTCATCAGCAATCTCCAGAATTCTACCTCTAAAATGCATTTGAAACAGTCCAATTTTCTCCATATCGACCCTAATCTAACAAGTATCATCTCTGGCTGAAATTATTATAGCACGCTAACTGATTTTCACCCAACCACTAGTTCATTCCCACAATACTTTAAACCAAATGTAAATTCTGCAATGGCGGGTCATTGCAATTAAGAAAAACTCCAATTAATTTACAGTGGGATACAAGGTGCTGCAAAATTTGACCCCTGCCCACCTTCCAAACTTCCCCTCATGCCAGTTTCACCCTTGCTCACCATATTTCAGCCTTCAAAAGTATTTCTCCTTCCTAACTTTCCCTTCGGAGTTCCTCCATCCACATGAAACTCTCTTTTCTCAGCTTTTACATGACTGGCGCAATTCAAATGTCATTTCTCAGTTTGAATGTCACTCCTCAGTGAGTCACTCTCATTTTCCCTACCCTCAGTCCTTCTTCATCCATTCTTTCCTTGCTTCCTAGTACTTGTGAAAATTTGCTACTATTTTAGTGGTTTATTTTTTGTTCTTTGGCTATCCCATACATTTGACTCTAAGCTCCACAAGCGCAAAAGCTAATGTCTGTTTTTTTCTCTGTGGAATGCATGTGTTTACTGTACTCTCTGGCTCATGTTCTCTACTCTCAGTGCTGTAATAAGACATTTTGAGTCCCTAAGCACTGTAAAAATTATAAAAAGTATGGTGCTTCCCATAAATAACGAAAAATAAAAACTACAGTTACAATAAAACTTATACTGAAATCACACTGGCTTTTATTTGTAGAATTTCTGAATTGTAAAATTCTGGGAAAGGTCATTGAAAAAAAAGTTTTCCCATTTCTTTGGTGTCCCTGATTTTTTGGTAACCTAGACCCACGTGTTATCTGCCACGGTGATATACAACTGTCCAGGACCTGAAAGGGAAAAACTGCTTCTCGTTTTAGCTTCAGAGCAAAGGTTTGTATTATCATGTAAATCTTACTTAATAAATCTGTAATGGAGCAGTGGTTGCTGCAAACATTATAACTCTTTTTCTACTGTTAGAAGAATTAATCCTCTGGCCTGGTTTCATTCATTCTTATCTCACACAGCTTGTCAGCTCCATAGCTATTGACAAGCCTTAATCCCCTAAGTAAATTAACAGAAGAAAAATGGAGGGAAGAAGTTGTGTGTTTATGTGTGTTGGGAGATGGAGAAGGCAGATTATTTTGACAAACAGGTAGGTGGCACATAATGGGTACCATGTTCTGTGCTAGGAATTAGGATTAAACAACATTTGAGCAGCATGCCATGTTCTTTAGCATAGCAGGACCTACAGGCATATTCCAAACCACCTGCTTCCACTTCACCCCACAATCTCTCCAGTAATATCTTCCTTGGGATTCCAAGCTACATTGTACTTTTCTTTTATCTGCTGTCAGAGCTGCCTGATTTTCTCCATTGTAGTGCTCAACATAATTTATTTTAAGTAATTATGTAACCTCTCTTTCCTCTTAGACCATAAGCTCCATGAGGGGAGTTCTCATGCTTTCTGACTCACGGCTACATCTCTGATACTTAGTAACAGCACACAATAGCAAGTAGCAATAAACATTTCTTAGATTAAGTAACAATAAGTAAATGAATGAAATTTAACCTTGACCTCAAAGGGCTTGCACTAAAATAAGAGAGAAAGACAAAGAAAAGGATATTTTCCATTCACCACCATAAGTGTAGTTAAGATGCATCACGGTACAATGGAAACCCTAGCTTCAATGCTAATCCTGGTATCAGTAAAGATGCACTGAAGGAGGTAATGGATAAGTTTTAAAGGTTGAAGAATTGAGGCAAAAAAGGAACCTCAAGTGATAATAGACTGAGCAAACACAGAAGTGTCTATCTGCTATGCAGGAAGTCATCTGTCAGATCATTGGCCATAAGAGTGTAGAGTTCATAGGAGAGTTCTTCTAATATATTTGCGTACTGAAACTATTGATAAAGGACATACAATGAAGTCAGAATGAGATCCTTGTTCTTAGAAAATGCAAGAAGATCCTTACTGCTTACATTTAATGTTCTCTGTAAATATATAATATATTAATAATCTCTTATAAAGGAGGCAGAAGATAAACAACAGTCACTTATGAATGCCTTTGTTTTTTGCCTTCTTTTTGGGGAAATCAGACTTTTGATTAAGTGTGACATAAGTATCTTCAGAATTCCTCATTATCTGTTAACAGCTGGTCTGCAGCCATAACAGCAAGCTTTTAGAATAATCCCAAGTGATCTGAGTGATTTGGAAACATCCAGAAAAATGTGGTAGGCATAACCATAGTTAATAACATTGTGTTTATAAGAATATTGATTTTTGTTTTATCATTTATTACATGCCAGGTACTCCTTAACATTTTGCACACACAAAATTCAAAAACAACTCAATAGGACCACAGACTTTCAACAACCCGGGGAGTCACCTTGGAAGCAGATCCCTGAACTCAGTCAAGACTTCAATTGAGACTGCAACCACAGCCACCTGTGTAACTACAACCTCATGAGACTTTGAGCCACAAGCTGTGAGCTAAGCCACTCCCAGATTTCTGCACCGCAAGCACTATCAGATAATACTAAATGATATTTCATAGTGCAAACAAATCACACAGAACAGTAACTAAGTGGGGTAGGTACTGCTATCATGTCATACAGACAAAGAAACTGAGCCATAAAGAAATAAAACAACTTGTCCAAGGTCACTCAGAAGAGAAATGGTAAAGCCTGGATTCAATCAGCAAGTCTGTCTCCAGAGCCCACACTTTGCAGCTTCCTCCCATTATGCTGTATTATCTCCTGAGATTGTAATGCCACTTTGGAGCCAAGACCTGTACCCTGTGCTTTTTCAGACATCTCACAGAATTCAGAAGTCAAAGTTGGAAAAGTCCCAGGAGAGGCAGACAGTTTGGTCACAATTCATACTATTCTTAGAAGAAAATTAGTGTTTCCCAAAAAACACCATGCCTACCCACTGAGGATATGTTAGATGACTTCAGACATGACTAGGATATGTTAGATGACTTTAAACAGGTTAGATGATTTCATACATGAGCAAACATTTTTACTTTAATAACTACGTATTTTTAAAATCTATGTCAGATAAACATTATGTTAATATGCATGTGTGTTAAATAAGGTAATTAGTATAAGTATCTCAGAATTTAATTGTGAGAAATATCAACAGTATATATCTGAACAAATTATACTATTATAAATTACAGAACCATGATTCAATGCAGAAAGTTGTTCCTTTATTGATTTACTGGTTTATTCTTTGGCAAATATTTATGGGCACCTAATATAGCCCAGACACTAGTCACACACAAAAAAAATAAAAATCCCTGCCCTCTCACAGTTTACATTCTAACAGGGAGAAACGAATAAAGAAATTTAATAACACACAAAAGAATACAGTATATTACTTATATATAATATAGTAGTAATGCTATACATATTACAGTATAGCATACCACATTAAACTATGCTATATTATATGATAACATACTGTATTACATTATCATATAGTATATTATTATTAATTTTATATATAGTATATAGAAAAACAGAGCATGGTAAGAGAGGGGATGGTAAAAGAGGGGTGTGATTTTTTTTCTTTTTAAATTAAAAATTATTATAAATAAAGTTGAAGTCTTTGTTTTACTAAAAAAATTGAGAATTTGTTTTCATTTCCTTCCTATGGGTCCATCATCTCTCTCTCTCTCTCTTTATTTTTTTTTTTTGAGATGGAGCTTTGGTCTTGTTGCCCAGGCTGGAGTGCAAATGGTGTGACCTCAGCTCACTGCAACCTCAGCTTTCCGGTTTCAAGTGATGCTCCTGCCTCACCCTCCCAAGTAGCTGGGATTACAGGAGCCCGCCACCACACCCAGCTAATTTTTGTATTTTTAGTAGAGCCAGGTTTTCACCATGTTGGCCAGGCTGATCTTGAACTCCTGATCTTGTAATCCACCTGCTTCAGCCTCCCAAAGTGTTGGGATTACAAGCGTGAGCCACTGGGCCTGGACCATCATCTTTACCATGTTAATTTTCATTTATGTTCTGCTGAAGTCAGAGACAAATTTCACTTAAAAATGAATAAATAACAAATTAAATAAATCATAAATAATTGCAATAAATAAGGGAAAACTATTATTAAATAATGATAACAGTGCTACCTGGATGTGACCAAAAAGAAATAAGAAAGTCGTATTTGAATGGTTAAATTGGAGACTTCTTCAAATAGGAAAGACCAAACTTTTCTCTCCACCGATTGCCTCTTGACCAATTGTTTTATGTTAATGGGAGGAGAGGAGAAAACTAGAATCACTCACCTTAGCCAGTCAGCTCCTAGAACAAAGGATGAAATGCTGTCCTGAGGACAGGGCGGAGGGTTCTGTCATCTAGTGTGTCACAGCTTCTACAGCCTGTAGCTTCCTGCCCTGCTTACTTACAAGACCACCTCTGTGGAGAAGATAAAATACAGGAATGCAAAAAGAAGCGAGGTGATCACAACCTATTCCTTTATGCTACACATCACACATATGTGATGTTGACTTGGAAATGTGTGCAGGCTGTGTGGCTGTTGAGGCTTTGACAAAAGGCAGGGGACACTGGCTGCACAAAGCAGAATGCAGGCTTTCCCACCAAGTGGATGGGAAGCCAGGGTCAAGTACTGGGGAGGAGCTGCAACTCTTTCCCGTGTCACCTAGGTATCTTCAAGTCAGTTTTATTAGAATAAGCCCCTGACATCAAGAGTGACACCATGCAGGAAAATGTCCGTCTTCTCATGGTTTAATGTTAGTTACTTACAAATGAGTAACAAGTAACTATGGCTACATTTATTGAATATTTTCTATCTGCTGAACACTGTATATTTTACACATATCATCTAGTTTAATTTTTATAATGACTCATGCGATTCTATGATTATTTCTTTTTACAGATGAAGAATCACAGATTTGAGAAAGTTAATAAATATGTTCCAAGTTATACCCAGAGTAAATACTGGCGCTAGGAACGGAGCCAAGATCGTCTGACTCTGAAACTTGTGTTAATGCCATTTGAATCTTTAAATAATCTGTGGATTAAGAACAGAGATTATTTCCATTTTATGGAGGAGTGGCAGAAAAGTGTAGTGGTCTGGAGAGCAAATGTGAGTGTTATAAGAGTCCATTTTAGTTCCGGCTCCGTCGTTTATCAGTTGTGAATTTAGGAAATGTATCTAACTCCTCTTAGATTTACGATGTCCTCAAATATCGAAATGTGTAGAACATTCGATCTCTTAGGGCCTCTGTCTTTGCCATCATCACCATGGCTATCACGTATTTTGCGTTTTCTCGCTTAATTTTTTCTCCTACCTGAAATTGCCACGTAATTCCCCTTAAACCCTTAGATTAAGAGGTGGCTGCTACTATGCCACAATAGTAATATTTATTGTACACTGTGTGCTTACTATATGCCAAGTGTTTTTAGTGCATTATCTCATTCAACCTTTACAAAGCCTGCACGAGATAAATACTAGTGTCATCTATAATGCATAGAGACAGAACTCGCCTAGACCTCGACACTACTGATTTCACTTCCCCTTTTCACACCCACCACCCTGGCTGCCAACTGACTTCGGAACTCCAAAAGGGCATCCATGAAAATGGCAGGAAGTGTCTGCAGGAAATGGAACGCTCCAGGAGTTTGACGCTAAAAAAGATTGGGAACTGTCCACCAACTGGTGCTACCGAGAATCGTGGTCGTTGAAAGGGATTTCAGTGTCCTCTATCCCAACTTACTTTTCCTCAGGGAAGTGTCAAATACCTCCAGGTCCTCTTCAGAAGGGCAGCTGGAAAAACAGTAAAACCAAGTAACTCACCTGAGAACATGCCGGGAGTAGTGCAAAGGAATCAACCAGACTCTTAATTTATTACAAAGTCCAGCCACTCCGTTTGCTTTCTAACAACCTTGTTGCCTGGTATTGAGTAAAAGATGCTATAAAGGACCAACACGTTTGGAAGTAATGATAATCTGCTGTCATGCGACATAATTTTCTCCACATTTGTTATCATTTATCTGCTGGTAAATTTCGTTCATTTTATTGGAAAACCACAGAAAATGAAAAAAAAAAAAAAACAGCTAAGCTATTTCGTATGTTTCGACCTAGATTTCAATTAAATTTTAATTATTCTCCTCCCGCGCCTATCCACCCTCGCCCCATTTTTCAAAAGACCTGGAGTCCAGGGTAGGAGAGATCAAGAGCATCCCAGAGGGCAGCAGCACAAATTCGCTCCCCTCCAGACCCTGCAGCTTGCTTCGCCCATCTCCCCTCCCCCTTAGCTTGGTCGCTTATCATTGGTCATTGCCATGGCAACCAGCAGCTGCCGGCCCAGCAGCCTCTACCGCAGCAGGGGTGGGGCACTGGGGGAGGGGGAGAGAGAGGAGGAGCCAGAGGAGGTGTCTGCTGCAAGTTCCTGGCTGCTTCCAAGCTCACCCCATCCTCCGAGAGGGAGGAGGCCCAACTGGTGATGCTGCTGCTGCTGCTGCCGCCGCCGCCGCCTCTATTGCTGATACTCTAGTGCAGCTGGAAGGGTGGTTCCTATTCGCACCATCGCCAACCAGAGACAGAGAGAAAAAAACGGCAGCCGCTGCTGATGTTGGGTTCGGAGGCTTCATCCGACTCGGTCACAAGGAAAATGGATTCAGTTTGCATCTCTCCCTCCTTTAAACAGCTTCTCCGGGTCTCAGCATGGTGAGTAGGAAACAGTAGGGCTCCCTTCTTGGTTTAGTGTGTTATTATTTGACCTGTGTATACATTTCTGGCCTGAACTTGAACAATGACTCCCGTGCCTCAGACTAGGAGCGCGAGATGTGGAGACAGAAATGAGTGATGGAGGGAGAGGAAGGTTGCCAGGAACATAGAAGTGAGAAGACAACCGCTTGTGTTAAAAAAAAAAAAAAAAAAATGCTGTTCTGATTCTATCTCTAACTGGCTCAGAATGCAGACTGAGCCACTTGGTGCCAAAAAAAAAAAAAAAAAAATGCTGTTCTGATTCTATCTCTAACTGGCTCAGAATGCAGACTGAGCCACTTGGTGCCTTTTTTCCTAAGCTTAGCAACAGCATCAGGGGTTGGAAAAGGAGCTAACACCAAGAAGAGGGTGTTATTGAAAGGAATCATTTCATTTGCAGCTCTCACATACAGGGTTGGGCCTTCTTCAGAAATACATTCGGTGTCTCATAAGCTTCCCAGACTCATGTTAAGGTGGTTTTGCTTATTTCATTGATTGTTTAGAAAAAGCGGCCCCAGAATTCCACATTCTATTTTATATTCTAATGTACTCTTGTTGAGAAATCATTTGCCAGAGCCAGTTTTATTTTATACATAGATTTGATTGTGAACTTATACATGTATATATTATGGATATACATATCATATATACACGTGTTACTTAGCATTTATATTGCATTTATGGAGGATATTTATATGTAGAGTGTGCTTTGCAATCATTTTTATGGGTTAGCTATGTCCTTGTATGTCTGAAAGTAATTGCATGTTTTTGAAACTATGCTTCTGGTTTGTATTATTATTCATTGGCTTCATTTGGATTAATGTGAAATTTACTCTTGTTATTGTCTCTTAATTTTATTGTGACCAATTGGAACAGATGCCTATCATTTGATCTGTATCATAGAACTAGATGCAAATTCATAGCCTGCCTCTTTATTTTTAATTGGGTTTGTGGGGGGTGATATTGAGGATTCCAAATTCACAATGATGGGAAAGGGAGGCGGCTTGTGGTATTATTTTGTTTCTAGCATCATGCCAAATGAATGTTTGAGCAAATCAGTTTTCTGGAAATGCCACCCCAACCTTTTCATGTTTGTGCCTTGTGTCCCAGGAAGCACAGCTAAGCTGGAAGGTGAAATGCATTCATTTTATTTAATAGTGCTGCTATCTGCTGTTCATTCCTTCAGTATCCAGGCACCATTTTATAGTTCTCCCAAATGTTGTATTATGGGTCTCCTTCTGCAAATGATTAAGTAGGAAAGTAGGATTGTTTTGAAAATCTAGGTATTCCCAAGTACCCTAGCCCAGCCATTTCTAAATTAGTCTGCTTATACAATGAAATGAAACCAGAGAGTGAGCAAAGCTGAGCAGGAGAATGTGTGTGGCTTGTAGCTGAAATGGGGGGCCATTGTAGTTTACAAATGCTCACTGGGATCTGCTTGACCTTTTATTATGTCAAGGCTTTAAGGCAGCTCGGGAGACTAATGGTGCCGGAGATAAGGAGGTTCCATTCCCACCCAGGATAATGGATTTCATTGAAGTAAAGCTGGAAAAATTTTTGTAGGTAAAATGTATGAGTAATATTACATTCACCACATGGGCTATTATAGTTTTATCCATTAATCTCTTCTCTGACAATATCATTGTTAGTACAGACATTTTTTACAATGTAAATAACAATTGTTTGGGGCTTTAGCCTTGCATTATGATTCTACATACACCCCCAACCACATTTATAATTTTCATATGTATTTGAATCAGGTTTAAAGTTTAATTTCTCTGAGAATAATTGTTCTCTTTGGTTTATACTTGAGAAGGGGCCTTAGTGACTTAATTGTGCATGTGCTCATGGCATGCCATATATTATAGATCCACAGCTTTGTAAACTCCTGCTACCATGCGCCTAATTGTAACAACTATATGAATTAGGGCAAGGAAAGAGATACTGGGCTTGTATGTTCTATCAAAATTGTATAACACATTGCATCCTGAATCTTTCAGTGATAATTCTTGACTTCCTAAAATTACAATGTTAGATATGTCTATAGTAAACTTAAAAAATTAAGATTTGTACTAGTTGACCCCATTTCATGCAACGAAAGCAGATAGCCTGGGACTTTGTTTTTGTTTCTTTTTTGTTGAGTTTTTGTTTGTATGTCATTTTAGAGGCAAAGTTGGTACAGTTCAAACAGAGGTGAATCCCTTAGGCCATGTGCTTAAAACTCCTTGTAGATAGCCTGTTTCTGCCAAGTGTCAGCTATTACCCTGATAGAAATACAGGTCTAGCTTTTGACCCCACAATTTAAGACAATTATATGGCCTTTGCTAAGGGGCCACAGAAAAGTGAAGTATGTTTTAAGCACTAAAAGTTGAACTCTCTGAGGACAGATTTTTTTAAAAAACTAGGATTATTTCATTTGGAGAAGAGAAAACTGAAATATGACAATCATTTGTTTCAGATAAATTGAACATGGGGCATAAGCACAGGACATTGTTTATTGCTATTTTTTGGAACCTCAAATATGGTCAATGGGCTTCAACTTTATGAGGAATTATGAAGATTAGAAATATAAAATTGTAGAAGTTCCTCATTGTAAGTGTGAGTAGTCAACTGGGTAATCAGATAAAGCAATACACTCTTTTCTCATCAAAACCTCCTTAAGTATGACCTAGATATGCATTTGTCTAGGATGGACTAGATTTCCTTCTCAAGAACTTCTCTTGCTTTTTCTAGAGTAAGTCATTTATTTAAGAGAGTATGTTCATTGTTTAAGATCAGGCACTTCTAGATTATAACAGTAAGACTCCATTTTGTAGTTGGCTTCTAAATTACAGGATCTAGGTATTTGCAAGTAAATTAACTGATTGTCTTCCTAGAGAAATTTACATGTAATTCTGCCAGAATGCGGGAAACTGAACATTTACCTGTTCATAGAGGCCTTTCTCAGCAACTTTTTGGAGTGTGATGTCAAATGTGTATATTAAAATTATTTTCTGTTGCGTGGTTAATTTTGAAAAATGTAATGTGTTATTTAAGGGGATCTTGACACAAAATAATTCAAGAGCCATCAAGTTGATTTTTTTAAAAAAAATAAATTTTTTGAAAGATATGTACAAATTAATGCTTAAATGTGCTGTTTAACAAACTAATCTTCCACTCAAACAGTATCTTAAAAATGTCATTCATGTTGTAATATTGAAATTAAATATTTTGATTGGTATGTAAGCTTTAGTAAAATTTGTTTTAATTAGGACACCCATTAATTACTTTCTCATTTTGTAATAGGATATTTCTTATTTCAAGTGACTTCAGAACATATTTTTATTTTATCTACCTTCTGCAAGTTGGCTTCAGAATGACTTAGACAATATTTGGAGAGTAAAATAGTTTTCTACATTTATTTTTGGTTCATCAAAAGTTAATGCTTTGTTTCTCATGGTTGGAGCCTTATTGTGGAAGTTTTAACATAAATAACACAATAATGGGCTTTTACTGAAACAAAAAGTTAGGTTTATACTTGGTTGTTACTCTTTGAAGTCTGCTACAATTCCCTCTGTTTACACATTCCACTATTATTCTATCAAGGGAAAATGTGCTTTCAAGCAGGATAAATTAATCAATTAACTAACAACTATTTGTAGAGCTTTTACCTGACTAGGAGACTTTGCATATGTTAGCAACAAAGAATTTCTGTGGAGAATATAAGATATACACCCATGAAATAGTTGATGATGAAAACAATGTAGTTGTAATTAGTACCATCCCTTCACCTTATGTTAATACAATTTTATTTAATTCTGTCATTTTTCCATCGTTATTTTTTATTTTATATTCCATCAATTTCAGCTTCTATTCTATCATTTTAATTCAATCATATCAACAAAGCTAGTGTCATAACAGTTATTTAAAATAAACGGGAACAGATTTAGGGAGGTTAGACTTGTCCAAATTTGTGTTTGGTAAATTGTGTAACAGGATGGATCAATAATTTCATGAGTACAAACTACCATAGTAGAAAGGTAGTGAATTATCTTACCAATTTGAATTTTAATTGGTAAAATAATTTTAATTCAATTTACTAATCTGCATTGTGTGGCTCATTTTATTTGACTACTTCAGGTACCATAATTTGTTCTTTGAACATACTGAATTTGGAAAAAAAAAAAAAAAAAAAAAAAAAAAAAAAAAAAAAGGGGGGTTCACACAAAAAAAGCATTTTAAAGAAAATCTAGCCTTCTTGATATTTCAGAAGAACCTAGAAGCATTTGTTTGCTTGAAAATCAGAACTTTGTTGGACTGATATGCACTTATTTTATAGATAGATATTGTTGTTATTTTTAATGACATAGAGGTTAGGAGGTGACCATTTTTCTGTGCTTAGGATCAGATTAAAATTCCTGTAGGTCCTGAATCTTGAAAAAAGTTATGCCATTCCTACCTATATGTCCTAATTATCTCTCCACCTACACATTCTTAAAGGTAAAAATGATATTGTCTTAAAATAAGTGTACATCAGTTCAACGATTTTCTGATTATTTTCTCTGAACAAATGCTTCTACATTTTTCTGAAATAGCAAAAGTATTTATTTGTTTTTCAAATATTCTAACTTCTGATGTCTCTTTTTCTTCATTAATGGCCTAGCCACATACTGGTGTGACTATTTGGTAATTCAGCCCTGGCCAAATACCAAATCATGGCATCTGAACTATATTCTACGTTTGTAAAAAGTGTCCTTTATAATTAATTAGCATGCAGTAAAAATGAGACCTGTCACACTAAAAAAATTCTTCTTTAAATCATTATTCACTACTACAACTAAATCCTGTGGCTTAAAGTTTTTTTATATTTAAAAATAATACATCCTCATTGTGGAAAATGAAAACACAGAAATGTGTAAAAGGAAAATAAGAACCACTCAAAAGCCTACCACCAAGAAATCATTACTGTTAGCATTTCAGAA